CCCATAGGAAAAAAAAACTGTATCACAGAATTTCTGTTCTGCTCCTTTTCACTAATCACTTATTTGAGCAGATGCGTACATTTTTTCTTCAATACATTTATGGCTATCGCCTGTAGTTTTTTCCTTGATTTTTTCAGTATTTTTTCTTCTCAGTATTTTTTCCCTTGATTTTTCAATGAATCTTTTCTATATTTTGAAGCATGGAAACCCAAAGTGGACTTCATATTCACTGACTGGTACCCCAGTACTAAAAATCACTTAAATGACCATTTCAGCTACAGCACTGCACTAGCAATAGAGCTGCTTGTCCAACACAAACTCTAGATGTTTTGCAGAATCACTGTGTTCCAGGGGGGACACACTCACCTGAAAGATAAGGATCTAGAACTCTTGTCTCTAAATCAAGTCAGTTTGGCTGTATTAAAAGCAAGAATTGCACAGTGATATTTTGACTGAGTTCTAATCCATGCTCATCTTTTACTGGTAGAGATTCTGCTCAGTAGAGACTCTGCACATCTAAACAGTCTTGCACGGATTCACAATGTGCATTGGGGTAATATGGGTAGGGGAAGTGTTTAGGAATCATACATGAGAAAAGTCAGAAGACTTTTGGCAGCAGCAGATTTCAGAAGACAGTAAGTATGAGCAGTGAATCTTCCTCCTCATCTCACGAGGCCATCTCTCAGGACACAAGCAGTATTTTCTTATCCAGGATTTTAAGCCAACTTCTTCCTCTGCTCACCTACCTTGTCCATTGACACCACTCTCTCTCTCTGCCTGCACCAAGAATATCCCCTGCTTATCCTTCTGCTCCTGCTAGATTTCTGTCATAGTAGTGGGCTCTACTTGTGTTAAAGAGCTATTGTGAATATTGCATTGAATTTTTTGTTGTTGTTCAGCTTGAGTTTCGGTTCAACAAAGACTTCAAAGTAATAACTCAGGCTCAGTTCTGGTTTAAAAAAAAACCCTAACCAACCAACTTGAATTAAAGTTTTTATTTTAGTTTCAGTTTGATTTTAAAACATGCTCTGTTTTAAAACACTCCTATTATCAGAACAGTCTGAGTGATCCCCATGTGTTTAGTGTTATTTAGAAGTCTGACAATATTCGTGTCAAGGGCATATTTCAACATAAATTATTCAGGATCTATTTCCATATTACTGGTAAGAATACTGATTAGGGCAAAGTTCGAGTCATCATAGAACTCTACTAAATGTCCCCTCACTCAAATTTAGCAAGTACTTTTGGAGAGCGGTCAGCTAATCAGCCCTTCGGCACTTAATGTGTGCTTCTCTGGTGCAGTTAATCAGAATGCTCTGTGGTACTAAGCCAAAGGTATTAAAAAGTCTAAGAAGCATCATCTTTTACTGTTCCATTTACTAACTCAAGTTCTAATAACCTTGAAAATTAACACTAATACTGTTAAACTAGTATTAATTATACCTTAATTCCTTAGTCTTTTACCACTGAATCTTACATAGCTTTTTTTTCTTCATCATTGTTGTCTCAAACCAATGTCCAACTTACTAATTTATAACATTATATTTTTATTTGTCAGCATATATATATATTTGTCAGTAGATGCCAAAAGCTTTCTCTTTGGTACTTACATTCTGGAAAAGAGTTTGGTTTTAAATTCTTAACAACTGAAATATTGTCTTAACATTTAATCATTACATTATCTCAATTTTCTTTACAACTTTTGGAAGCTTCAGTTTATATTCCATTTGTCTCTCCAGAATTGTCCTCTTCACTGTGTTAAAGACAGCTCTACCTGCTCTAATTAGTCTCCAGCAGAGAACAGTTCTAGTTGTGAGGCAGAGGTTAAGCTTCTGTGCATCCCTCCCACCATCAGGGTTGTTGCCTGATGGACCACTCAAAGCATGCCTTCAGTCTTAGCTTAGTGGAGCAGTCACGGGCTCTTGCCTAATATCTTGCAGCCTTAGGACCAGAAAATCACAAAAAAAAATCACCTGGATTTTTCCATTTTTCATCTTCTCCCCTGATGTTTCCCACAATTCCACCAGCTCCACATGATTTTTGCCTAGTTATGTTCTCAAAATTGGCTGACATTATTGCTGAAACATAACACTGAGTAAAAACATCAGACAAAGATGAACACTGCACACTGAAGTTTTCAGCTCAAATTATAAGCAATATCTATAGCGATGATGCAAATGATGAAAAAATTGCAGGTACAATTTCTGACTTCAAAATAAAGTTATTATTGACTATGCAAAGTAGATTTTTTACACTTTGTATTACAGTAGTGTCTGGGGAGCAAAATGAAGATTAGGCTCCAGTGTAGTAAGCATGGTACAGACAGACTTTTAACATTTTAAAAATGTTATAACTAATGCATCAAAGTGAAAGTAAATAGTTATGGAAACTTACAGCATTTTCAGCTATTAAAATTACTTCAGGAATTTACAGTTAGGAACATTCTGTGCTAATATCCTCAGTGTCAGGGTTTGGACTACTCTTGCTCAGTACCGAGTTGGCTACTGGAAATAATCACCCATACGATGCATAGTGCCACTGCTAACAGATCTACAAGTGCACCTCCTTTCCAGATTGCTAGTTTGTTTCCCCATCACCTGAACATGGGTAATAAGCATTTTGTGTGGGAATTGAAGTGGGTAGAAATTAACCAGGAAGAAATCTGGCACCCTTCCCAAAAGAGCCAGCACCAAGAGTTGATGTGCAACAGTCTTCAGAAGCATGTTAGACCTCATTTATAGCTTCAGTGTTACTCATTTGTTTTGGTTCTGTAGGAACCAAAAGGACATGGAGCTGTTGGAGAAGTCCAGAGGACACCACAAAAATGATCAGGAACTGGAGCACCTCCCATGTGAAGACAGGCTGAGAAAGTTGGGGCTGTTCAGTTTGGAGAACAGAAGCTGTGTGGAGACCTCAGAGCAGCTTCCAGTGTCCAAATGGGGTTACAATGATGCTGGAGGGGGACTCTTCATCACAGACTGCAGCAATAGGACAAGGGATGATGCATTCAAGCTAAACGGAGGAGATTTAGGTTAGATATACAGAAGGGGCTCTTTACAGTGAGGGTGGTGAGGCGCTGGCACAGGTTGCCCAGAGAAGTGGTGCTCCATCCCTGGCAGTGTTCAAGGCCAGGCTGGACAGAGCCTTGGGCCACATGGTCTAGTGTGAGGTGTCCCTGCCTATGGCAGGAGGGTTGGAACTGGATGATCTTAAGGTCCTTTCCAACCCGAACCATTCTGTGATTCTATGATGCACCTGAAGCTGCGTGAGCACAAAGACTGGATCTGGGGACATGCCATGTCAGGGGTGGAAGATGAAGAGAGCTGCTCTTGGTATTCGGGGCAAAGCAGGGTAGATTCAAAGAGGAGATTTCAGGGTTTTCTGTGGGTACTGACTTTAGCTAGTTTGCTGATTAAAGACGAGTGAGGCCCGCAGAGGTGGGCATCTCCACACAAGGCCCAGCCTGCAGATCTCTTGGTGAAAACGCTGCCTTGGGCACACTTTGGATGCCCGAGGGGAGCACGGGTCGGTGAGATCTCGGAGGTTATACAGGGTCGGAAGGGACAAACTGCTGCCAAGGGCAGTGTCAAGGGCAATGAGGCAGGTCCCGTAAGGAGACATGCGAGACATACCACGACCAACACACAGCCCCACTCCCGCTCGCCCCTGCAACGACCAAGCCTGCGCTAACCACCCTCCGCGGCGCTTAGCCGCCACCCGACCGCTCAGCCTTCCGCTGCCGGCATTGCGCATGCGCACTCGCATCCCAGCCCGCGGCGCGCCCGCTGAGTAGCGCATGCGCGGAGCCTTCCGGGCTCCTGCACTGTTTTCTTCCCCCCCACCCACCCCCAACACCCTTCCCGCCTTTGCCATGGCGACACCGAGTGGCCTGATCCGGGCCCTGCACCGCGGGACCCTCGGCCAGGTAACCGGCCTAGGGCACCGGGCACGTCCCGTGGGATCCCTTCCCGGACTCCCCGGCTTCGGCTGAGCCCTGCGCTCCAGCCCCGCCCGGCCCTACCAGCAACCCGGCCCCCGTGCAGCGGGCTGGCTCCGCGCATGCGCGGTGAGGAGGTCGGGGCAGTGGCGGCGCGGGGTCGGACAAGGCGGAGGGGGCTGCTCTTCTCTCCGCTTTCACACTGGCCTTCATTTGGCCCCGTCCTTTCTGCATTCCAGACGGTTGTCTCTGGCGCTGCTCAGCCGTATGGGCTGCTGCTCTGCAGGGCACACGGAGCTTGGGTCGTGGGAATGAAGGAGGGAGGGAGGGAGAGAGGCCTGAGCCAGTGAGTGAGGTGTGGGGGCTCGCTGTGCCCGTGCCCTCGCGGTAGTTAGGCGCTGAGGTACCGCGGGACGTTATTTGAGGTTCAGAGTTGGTCCGTACTTTTTTTCTTAGAGCATCATTTTCCGGCTTTAAATGTACCTACAGCCCGCAACCACCCGTCTTCTCCAGCAGCATGGGTGTCTGAACATTAGAGCGTGTGTGTCAACCCTACACCTTGCTACTTGCACAGCTTTGATGGGGTGTAGTAGTAGTTAAACTTGATTAATGCGTATGGGATTTGCATTGTAAGGAGCAGGAGCTTGCCTGTCTTCCCCTGTTCCACGACAAATTTGAAGTAGAGGAGCAAATGTTTGCATTGGTCATATTTGGCATGATATTTATGTATGGGGAGATACCCTGAGTTTGCCGGTTTGGGTAGGAATATGTTCAGTGAGTGTGTGTTTATAGGCAGCCTTCTTCATAGAAACTTTTCTACCTGTGAATGATCTGCCTTACCAGTCTGAGTTTTTATGTAGCTTGTAGTCTTGCTTTTAAAACTAGTCAAAGAATTATTAAGCTGATGACAATAATACAATATGTTGAGTCATTTTAGTGAATGTTTGTTTCTCTTAGCTGGACAATTCTTTGTTATTAACGTTGTGCTTACATTCATGTATCATCCAGATCCTGAATGGTATACTATGTTTCTGTAATGGAATGCTGTCTAGAATGAGGGTCAGGATAGATGTGTGTGGTGTTGCCTGTAAGGGAAAACAGAATAAGGAGAACAAAAGTGGCTTTTGGTTTCTTGCTGTAATCCCTGCTAAGTGTAACCTTGCAGCAACTGAGTTCTGTTAACCAGGGGGCTGTTACTCTGAGAATTTCAAGCTAAAGCACAGCACTCATACACAAAAGGTTGTTGTGTATAGTGGTGAGTAAACTACAAGTTCCAGAAATGCTTGAGTTATTTTAGAGCTAGGATTTTTAAGGTTAAACATAAAAAATTAAGGCATATTTCAGTTACTTCTCAAGACAGCTAACAGCATGCAAATGACCTTGATCCTGCTCTTTCTATTGAGGAGGTGGAGTGAGAGGAAAAGAGGAAGAACCTGTTATCCCATATGAAACTTTCCTAACCAGTCTTTTACTTAGTAACTGTATGCTTCCTGCTAGATGTTACTATGAGGCAGAGGTAAGGTTTCCACTTATATTTTTTTGCTTCAGAGTTCAGTTGTAAGACCGCTTTGAATTTTAACTATATAGAAGGCCTAAACAGTCTTACTATGGCAAACTGAGTCAGGTTTTGGGTGTTCCCATTCTTTTAGGTGTTTTGATTTCATTTAACCTAAATCTTACTAGGTTCTTAACACTTAGCATTTGAACAGTTACATTGTCCTATATTTTGTTTGCCACATCAAACAAAATGTAGCTGTTGCAAAGATGCCTCAAACAAGTCTTCAGTTTTAGACAAGAACTACAAAATGCCTTGAAAAATATTGAAAGGGCTTGTGTATGCTTATCTTTCCAGTTACTCATGGTGGCTCTTTGAGATCCATTCAGTATCCTAGCAGGTGGCCTCCCCTGCCTTCATTCTTTTAGCAAAGGATTCCAGTTTATCTTACATAATAGAAAAATCTGCTCTGAGTGAACTTGATTCTGTTACAACTTAATGTTTGCTCTGGTATGAACTTCTTTGTCACCTCTGAGTCGCCCATCAGATCAAGATCACTTCTCAGGTGCTTTGTCAGTCAACCTGTTTATTGTTCCCTGATGTCCTTTAGATGTGATAGGTCTGAGAATGGGCTTGCTTCCTGCTATTCTTCAAATGTTTTCATTTAAAACCCAAGAAGCACGAAGTTAGTGTTGGTGATGTGACTTCATACTGCCTGCCCCCAGATAACGGCAGTGATCTGAGTTGCTTCTCTGTAAATTTGCAAGTCCAGTATGCTGTGGGCTTTTGTCGCTTTTCTCTCTCACTTTAAGTGCCGCCTTATGTCTGGAAAGAACTGCACTGGAATTGAAGTGGTACTTCAGTGCTTCTTCAAAAGAATTGAAAAAAAAAAAAAAAGGCTTCCTGATTTATGCTGTTTCTGTTGCCAGACTGGACTTCAGAGTATTTTTACTATTATGGCAGACAGTTTGGAACAGATCATGTATTTGCTGTGTGCTAATGAGGAATATTTAGATTTCAAGCTGGAAATACATTTGTCTTCAAGCTTCAGCAGTATATAGCTACTGGCACCCTTATAGTTCTAATGTTTAAGGTTTTGCTAATGCAGACATAGCTATTTTAAGGAGTAATTTCTGTGGTTTCAGCTTTGTTTCATTGTAGTGCACAGTTCATCCTTATGCTGGCTTTATCATGCTGTGGAAAAGTTCCTCTATACTTTTTGTTGTATGTATTTCTAGTACACAACTAGAATACGTAGGCGTAATATATGTGGTTAAGAAAGAAGTGACATTTTGTTGGAGAGATTAATTATATTATGGGCATCTTGACTTTTAAGAGCTTATTTTAAACTCTTTGATTTACTCTTCTTAAGTGGTCTCTAAACTAGGGTTATATGAAGTCATTTTGTCGAGTCTTTTTCTTTGATAAGACACTCTTAAAATCCCAACTAACAGGTACTCCAGGAAATTACTGATAACATGCTGAGAAATCCAACTATGGCATAACCTGTCAGTAGGAAAATTTAATCCAAGGTGATTCAGTTGGTGCGTAACCTGATAAAATAGGAATTAGGTTTAGTCCTGTCAACAAAGCTCTAGAATTTGCTGCTCAGTTAAATCTTACTAAATCAGGCCTCACGTTGTGTCAGCCAGTGAATTACATCAGTATCTTCAACTGATAATCTCTCTGGAGTCTTACTGTTGCAAAGCCAAATAATTTAAGATCAGAAGTGGCCAGTAGTCAAATCCTAGCCTATGTAGGCTTTCTTTTCTCCAGTTCAGACTTTGATTACTAGCTATCACATCTGCTGATGTTAACAGCAAAATCGTAAGTTAATGAAGTAAAGATAGGGACTGTTTGTGCTTAGGTGGTTACAGAAGAAAAACTTACCTGTCAGCAGTAGTACCAATGCCAGTGACTAAACTGTGGAGTATTTCTGTACTGTTGTGAACTCAAGCTTTGGACAGGGTATCCCTTTTTCTCCTCTCTACCCCATAACGGACTTCTGATTTGTTCAGAGAGAAGCCTAGTCAGCATTGCACATACCCCTTCAGACTCTCTGATCTGTGTAGTTCCTGCTACACAGCATGCTTGAGACATAGCAGAAGGTAGTTTACTACCTTCACTGTTACCCTTGTGAAGTAGAAGAATGATGAATTCTTGGTTTTGATTATAGAGTCTCATGCATCACTAGATGGCTTTCCAGGCTTCCTTCAAGGAAAAGTCAGGAGGTTTTGGCACCATTTTTTTTTCCTAGTAGCAAAGTAGTTATCAGTATTACAGTTATCGTAAGAATATTCTAATACCTATATTGCTTTTCTTCCTGCAAACATCTTTTAAAATAAAACCATTTTGCTGGCTTTTCTCCTACCCTGATCTCTGCTCTTTGATAGGTAAGGCCCTCCCTGACCTTCACACATGGCTCTATTGTTGTTGCTAACCTATATGTTTTGCTGCCCTACAAGCTTCATCCTTTATCACCTTTCACAGGAGTGATGCATCTGGATGTGGACTCTCTTGCAGCTTCATGTAATGCAGAACTGCATCTTCCAGCCATGAGACTTGGTGTTTTTTAAACACAAAATACTTTCCTCTTTGGTGCTAGAATTTGGTGGGTTTTTTTCTGGCATTCAAAGTTGGATTTGGTTTAATGAAACTCAGGACAGTAACTCTAGAAGGCACCATTCAGGTCATCCAAAGAGAAGACTGGTTTGAGTCCCACAGTCCCAAGGATGCTGCTTCTACCTGTTGGTCAGTGTGGCACAGAAAACAGCTCTGGTGAATGTTTAGTCACGACCACTTTGAGCACAAGATTTTCAAATCCAAGGAATCTTAGCCAACATTGTAATCTGACAGTAATCTGATGGTAATCTTATCAGTTTGTTTAGGAATGTTCCTGTTTCATTACCTGAGTTATTACCTGGAAAACTGCCTCAGAACAGATCCCTGTATGTAGTTTCTCTAGCTTGCTTTATGGTTTGTGACCCAAGATAGTGCTAGCATCAAGATGTGTTTACTACTTCTTCCTCTCCTGTGACAGCCTAATGGATCTCAAGGCCAAATTTAGACTAATCTGGCATCTTTTGCTCTTAACAACTCCATGTTTGCTGGTTTTTTTCTCTAGTTATCTTCTAGGGAATTGCAGAAGATGATTTTTGTTCAGAGAATTGATGCTAAGCAGACTACCACCCTTCTGCTTCTCTTTTCCTGTGTTTTTGGAGACAGGAATGGCATTTGCCCTTTTTTGGTTTTCTGATCCTTTTCTGGGCCTCTGTGAACCTCCCTGATCCTGGTCAGTATTGTCAGCACTTGAAGAAGAGATCTTCAGATGAAATTTGGTTCATTTTTTGTATAAATCTTGTTCTTTCTGTATTCAAGCACCTAGTCACTCCCATTGTTATTGTGCTGCTTATATTAATGACTGGGCATGTTTCATACATTTTAATGAAGCTGACTGTGAGAAAGGCAAAAGGGTTGTTTTAGAGTAGACTATTAAAGTGGTTTTTTTTGCCCAGAATGCAAATTTAGTCTTGATAATTTTGAGCTATAGTTACTGTATGAGTTCTGGAGAAAGGAAAAAACCTGAAATTACCAGGCCCTAATCCTTATCTACAATTTCAAAGATTGTAGGTAAAACTCCAGTGGGAGGGAGAGCTCAGTTTTTATCATCATTCAGATGTGTTATGAATGAAATGCAAACAATTTAAAAGTGTTCCCATCTTGTACTTGTTGGTGTCACTTTCGTTACCCAGTAATGAAATGCATCTCCAGAAGCCTGTAACAAGCTTGCACACATATACTGGTTACTGCAGCAGGTCCAGGCTATTGTCTACTGAGATTGACGAATGAGCAGACAGGTTTTGCAGTGCCTACCTTGGGTTTGGGTTTGTGACTGTCCCCATTGTAGCATATCTTTTTTATTTTTTTTTTTTCTAGTCAACATAAAGTTTGGAAGTAGTAAAGTGCTTTTGACTGAGGGAAAAAAAGCTGGAAATGCAAATAATCTGTTAGATGACTGTTTCCTGGTGCACAGTATGAGGTGGGTCACCATGCTGTAAACCACGGGACCTTTAGGAAGATCTGAGTGACTTGAGAAGTGCTTTCCAAATACAAGTGGCCTCTGTTGTGGATTCATGTGTAAAAATTGGTGGCTTTTTTAGATTTTTATTTCCTGTTTTCCTGAATTATAACTTTTTTTGCTACTGTTGTGGTTGGGCACAAATATTAAAAGTTATTTAGTTATCCAACTTCTCTCAGAACCAGCTGCAGTTAGAAAAAGTTCCAGCCTTTGGATTAAAGCTCTTGTGTCTCATATCCAGGTTGGAATGCAAGTCTATGATTCTCTGATTCTTTCCTAACCAGTCATTTGTTATTATTTTAATCACTAATTGTTTTATGTTTAATCCTCTAGGGAAACTAGATCTGATCTTTCAGTAAAGCATTCAAAAGTTCTCTAGGCCAGAATGAACCTGTTAGTTGTGTATAATTTTCAGAGCTAAAGGGAAGTTAGTATGCACTTTGAATACGTTTCTTGGGTCTTCACTGGGTTTGATAGAAATCAGCTTTCCACGCAGATTTATTAGACCTTCAACTGGTAGAGAAACTGCTCATCTGCCTTGCTTAATGCCTTGTCTCTGGTGGATTCTGGACACTGCTGTAGCTGCACAGGAGAGAGCACCCACTGTAGACAGAAATGAAGGATCTTCGAGGTGTGAAGGGGTCCTATTCATTTCCTTAATGGACT